GCGTGGGTGTGATGGGGAGGGGCAGGGAACACGGCCCGCAGCAACACTGAGAGCAGATTGTGGAACCCCGGTCTAGCTGGGAGGGAATTCAGGCCCTCTCAACAGCTCAGCTCCATGAACAAGGGAATGCTGTTGGCTGGCCCCTGGCCATCCCTGTACCTCAGTTTCCCTAACTAACCTCAGTGTGTAATCCTTTCTGCTGGAGTGGTCCAGCCCAGCCTGGGGAGCAGTAAGCCTTCCCCTTTTGGAACTGGGGGCAGTGTCCTCATGTGATGGTGCCGCTCTAGCCACCACCAAGGCATGAGTGGAGTCTCTGAGACCTTGGGTGGGCCTCATTTGGTCCACTGTCCCTCTCCAGCCTGACCCAGTACCTTCTCCAGGCTGCCCCCACCCATCCTGGAGCCAGGCATGCGGGAGGCAGAGAGGGTGGGCTGCCCCTAGGCTAGTGCCAGTCCTTTGGTTGAGGTTCAGGGTGCTATCAGACCTGTGCTAAGTGGCCAAGAATAAGTTACCTAGCTGGACCGTCTGGGTAGCTGACACCATGAGGGATCGTCTGAGGCCAGACTGCACATGTCAGCTAGGACACGCGAGGCCAAGACTCCTGTGGAGAGGTGGGTGCTAAGGTGTCTGAAAAGTGCACAGGAGGGGCTCAGCCCTGGAGGGGCAGCTTCTCGTGAGTGTGATGCTCCAGGGCCTCAGGCTGGGCAGACCCTCTCCTCCCTGTGGCTCAGCCCCCAACCCCAGATTGCCACCTGCAGAGCTGGGCGGATCCCACATGGAGAGAGTGGGCTGGCCCAAGGGGAAGAGAGCTGACTGCTGCACGGACCCACACCCATCTAGGTGGAGCTCTGTGCAAGAGGTGCCACCAGCAGCTCCCAGGGGCCACTAAGAAAGTGCGACCATGCCACTGTGTCCCAGGATTCACAGCATGGTGGGTGGGGAATGAGAGAGACGATAGGGGTGCTCCGGTTTCCTCCCATTCTCAATGGCTCCTCCTTAGCCAGCCGAGAAGCACAGGTGGGCCAGCCCGGGTTCTCTTGCCTCCTGAGATGTATGGGCACGCCTTCATCCGTGTGGTGGAAATGTTTGCACATATGCCTGCCCCTCCCTCCTGGCTGGCCCTTTCTGCCAGAGGCGTCTCCTGGCCCCCTGCCCCCTCATCCATCTTGCCTGCCAGCCTGTCCCTGGTGCCCCAGCATCCTTCACACCTTCTCATCTCACCGCTCAATACCAGGAGGCAGCGGTGTAGCAGCTATGGCCGCAGGGAGATGGATGGCCAGACAGGGAGTGCAGGGGGCTGCAGGAGCAAGGCTGTGAGGGGGTGGAGCTCTGGGCCCTGAGTCTGCATCTCTGCCTGGCAGGCTGGGGCACTGGCCAGGCTCCATCCTGGCCTGCCTAGTTTGTGGATGCCCTCTAGGCACCTGGATGAGAAAGAGAGAACCCTGTGCCAGTTTCTACCTCTGACTCTGGTGTGGGAGGCCTAGGGATGGTGGAGGTGATGGGGGAGCACCGGTTTTCCTCTGCTCCCACCTTGGGCACCTCCTCTGGGTACTCTGACAGCTGGAAAGCTTTCTGGGTGTGCCCAACCCCAGCCCTGAAGTCTCCTGAACCACTGTGGCATTGGAACCTATTAAGCACTGGGAAATACACATCCGGGCTGTTTGCCTGGATACACAGAGCCCCTGGCACTAGGGCTCCTAGAAACATGTGTACGTGGGAACATGCACACACACCAACAGGCACTCTGGGTAGGCATGGGCACGGACATGCACATACATGGACACGTATCTCTGGTCCCACATGCTGACCCTCTGGCCCAGGACTGGACAGCTCAAGGCCTTCTGAGTTGTGGGTACCTCTGGAAGGCCCTCTCCTGAGACCAAGACAGTCTTCCTCTGGGTCCCCAGTACAATATGGCTTCTTCCTCCAGGCATGTGTGAACACTGTGAGCACAGAGGCAGCAATACTGGTCACAGGACACAGCATATGTGGCTAGGCCTGCCCCAGGCCTTATGGTTAATCCTCCCTCTATCCATCTACTTTCCTAGTCAGAGGGGGTGTGCATGACAGAGGACATTAACCATGGACCCCTGAACATTTTCCATTTTATAACAGGAAACTGAGGGTTGGCATTGGGCGGCCTGACAAGGAGTATAGTGTCCAGGCCTCTAGGCTTAGCCCTGTACCTCAGCACCACTGTTCAGATGGGAAGGCTGAGGCCAGGCAGGTATGGTGAGGTTAGTGGGCAGGGCTGGGGGTCAGCACAGGCAGGGCCGGCACTGAGACTGTGAGCTTCTCTGTCTTCATGAAGGCAATGTTCTTCTCATAGTAGGCAGCCTCATTAATGAACACGGGGTACACAGTGGAGTCCCCCTCATAGAGCACGTCCTTGCCGCTAAACATCTGGAAGATGGGTGTGCCAGGCTGCAGAGGCTTAAAGTCCTGGTCCTGGGAAGATAGCCAAGACTAAGGCTCCTTGGACCGAGGTGCTCCACAGCCCCAGCTAGTGACGTCCAAGAGATACCCACTCATCCTTAGCCTTGCCTGCCCACCTTCTTCTCCCTTGGTCCATATGACAAGGCATCTGGTGACATGCCAAGTGACTGTGTCTAGAAATGTAGACACCAGTCACCGTGGAAAGACAGCTGTCACAGCGGAAGTATAACCTAATGGTTATGGGGGCAGGTATTTCAGTGCTCAAAACCTGGGTTCCAATTCTTATTTGCTGCCTGACCCTCAGCAAGTTAACTTCTGTGTTCCTTATCCTCTTTGTCTATAAAACAAGGGTAATTTCTCCTATGATTCTGAGATCTAAGTGAAGCAGGTTAACAGTGCTTAGCACGTAGTACAGTACTGGCAGGCCACTTGATGAAGAGGTTAGTTCCAAGAATGTACTGTTAGGTGAGTTTGTCACTGTGGAAACATCACAGAGTATAGTTATATAAATTAAGGTGGGCATAATGTCACTGACATGTTACATACATGACTGGTTGTTGTCCCGCTTTGTTTTCAGTATTGGAAACTGAACCGAGGGTCTTCTCACTCAGGTACATTCCCAGCCTTTTTATTTTGTATTTTGAGACAATTTCACAAAGTTGCCTTGAACTTTTGATCCTCCTGCCTCAATTTCCCTGAATAGTGGAGATTACAGGTGTGCCCTATCGCACCCGGCTACATGATTGTACTTTTTAAGGCAAATGACCTAGAATGACCACTAACATCTGCAAAGCAAATGGGTAGGACTGGCTTGAGACTGTCCACCCTCAATCACTGAATGGATGGTATCTCTACTCCAGAATGTCATTTCAGGTAAGATACCACTTGCAGAGATAAAACTTATAGAGACTAGAGTTTTGGGAACTTCACGAGACCCTATTCAATAGAGACCCTGAAGTGGTTCCCAACCACTGACCCTCTGCCCAGTGGGGGAGGATTTCCCATCCTAGAACATTCGGGGAGGGAAGGCGGTGAGGGGATGTGCTGGACTATGGCTCATAGGCATAGGAACACTCAGGGATAGACTCCACCACTCCCAGCCCTTCAAGGGGGCTATGGCCCCCAGTGCTAGGCCTGAGTATAGATGTCCCAGGGAAGACAAGAAGGGGTCTGGAGCGAGCCCTCCATTCTTCTCTGGGTTCTGAGGGCTGAGGACCTCTGGGAAGCCTGGTCCCTCCTCTAGGCCTGCTCTCCCCAACATCCCCAGGAGGTGACTGCAGTACCTTCCCACCCCCACACACCTGGATCTGGGGATGCACCATGCCAGCCAGGTCCCCTTCTTCCGTGCGTGGAAATTCCATGTATTCCAGTAATCTGTAGATCTCCATCTCAAAGGCTGGAAAGGCTGTGCCTGTTTAGGAGAGGTGACAGTTCTTGTCTCCCTTGGGGCTCTGGGAGTCAGCTCTCTCCTCTGGACCTCAGTTTCCCTGCTTTGAGGTCTCACCCTGGTTGAAGAGCTCAATGAGGTCCAGAGTAGAGGCCACCAGGGATCTCATCCTGTAGAAAAGTTTGGCCTGCAGCACACCCTGAGGCTGGGGGCCGATCTCTATGGCTGGAGACCGCAAGGAGAGAGGTCATAATAGGCATCCTAGGGTTTGCAAGCCCCAGGTTGAGGGTTGCCCCCTCCACCCCCCACCTGCCTCTGTGAGGCTCCGCCCCCTGTCTCACCACAACTCCTGGGCCTTGGCCTCCTGAACCATGGCCCTGCCCTTTTAATCCCACCCTTGCCCCCTTCCCCAGAGCCCAGCAGCCCACTCATTCCGTGTTTGGACACAGAGTCCAGGCTGAATGTTTCGCTCTCAGGTGGCTGGTACACCAAGATCCAGGAGGGTGACTCAGAGTTCTGCAGCTGGAGGTGGAAGGGGCAGATCAGGAACCCAAGCCCACTTGGGAGGGGAAACCGAGGCAGGGCAGAGCAGCCCTGTGCATTGCCTGCTCTGGCCCAGGCAAAGACCTGGAGTACTTGGAGGTGGCAACCCTGGAACTGTGCCCTTGGGGAAATTAACCCAGGGAAACAGGCGAATGTGGCCAAGGCTCGGTCCCCTCTTCCTTCTTTCCCACCTGCCCTCTCCCTGCCCTCTGGGGACTACATAAGGCTGGAGCCACCTGTAGGCGGTGGCACAAGTGCATGGCAAAGAGGTCTGTTTCATTGACAATGAAGCACGTGTTCATGTTGGCAGTGGTGTTATGCAGATCGAGGACAAAGTCAAAGGCCTGGCTGGAGTTTTTGGGTCCCAACAGCTGGTTCAGTTCCCGGGCTCTTGTGACCTCATAGGGCTCATCTGGTGTGGGGCTCGCACTGTGGGGCAGGAGCAGAGATATAGCCCAGTAGGCACAATCAGTCTGTGGGGGTCCATTGGGGAAGGGACTGGTGCAGCTGGCAGGCGACAGTGCAGGCCAGTGGCTCCTGCTCCACTTGTGTGCCTGTACCCTCCTTGGCCCCCTGGGTTGGGCCTGCCACATACCCTCCAGCCTGTCCTCGCCCAACCACGTCTCCCAAACACCCTGCTCGTCACATCGCCAGGCCTTTGTCTGAGCTGGGCCCTCTGCTGCAAATTCATTCTTTCTTCTCTCTACTTGGGTAACTTCTACTCACTTTCTAGGAATTAGGCGAAAGGCCATCCCCCCCCCCCCGAAGTCTTTCCTGGCTGCTGATGACCTCGCTACATGCTGTGTGTAGCTTGCCCACCCCTTCACTTAGCCTCCTGCACTGTGATTGCTCTTCTCTGTCACCCAAACAGCTGAGGCCAACACCTGGGTGCTATTTCCCATTGCCTCACCTACTAGCCAGGGCCTGGCCTGCAGGTGGGGCCTGGTGAATGCCCCCTGAAGGAGGCTGGGCAGTGCCTGGGGCACAAGACCACTTGAAATGCAGCTGGTCTGAGAGCAGGTTGAAGTCTGGGGAACCCAGAGGGCCCCTGCCCCAGCCCACAGTCAAGGAGGGCATCCTAGAGGAGGTGACATTGATCTGGACTTCTCTAAAATGAAAATCAAGGACCAAGCAGTAGAAGCAGAGAGGTAGTAGAGCAGAGAAGAGAGGCAGCTGGAGTCATGGCACTCACGTAAGGAGGGCCTTGGTGAAGCTGCGATTGAGGTCACAGCCTATGTGGCGGCGACAGACGGCTGCGGCTGCTGGGTTGGCCAGCACGGGCACAGCAGAGAAGCTGGGTTGCTGTAGCTCCCCAGGGGCCTGCAGCCAGTGCCGGGCCAGGTAGACTCCACACATCTCATTGCCGTGGGTTCCCCCAGTCACAGCCACACGGCGCAGGGGCTCCTGGGGCACAGGCATCGAGTATATCCTGTGTGAGGTGGGATACCTGGTGGGTGGGCAGACAGAGGAGACTGGAGCACAGGCACAAGGCTTGGTGTTCAGAGCAGGATTGGTGGTAGTGAGCCCTCTAGGACCTGAGGAGTCCAATCTGGGCAGAGCAGCCAGGTATGGCTGGCTTCAGCTGTGTCCCATCTGTACCCTAGAGGCACAGCTCAAAGGCACCCCCCGCCTAAAATGTGTCCTGCCTGGTGTGTGAAGTCCCTCCTTTTGCCCTTCCTCTCCTCTTCTGGAACAGCTTTCTACTCCATTTGGAGAGAAGCCCAGAGGGGCTTAGACATTTGGGGACATGGATGCGCATTGGCCAAGGCACACCTACAGAGGAAGACTGTGCCCATTTTACAGGTGAGAAAGTTGAGGCCTACATAGGGAGTGGAGTGTGCCACACCCGTTAGCTGTGGCATGTCTGTGTTCCAGGTGATCCCTGAGCCCTTCAGCCACTCCTTATGCTTCTCTGAGCTGACACAGGGGCCTTTGGGAGGAGGCTTCTTACCTGCCAGTGAAGGGCTGGGCTCCCCCAGATCACCAGGGCTGGAGTGTTGCAGCTAGACACACAGTATTTATGTGCCCAAGATCACAGAGCAAGAAGTGTTTGTGCTGAGTTGGAGGTCAGCAAGGGGTGAGTGGTATGGGCTGAGGTCCATGTGGCCAAAGGGCACAGTATTGGCCCCCACCCACCTACCCAAGCTCCACCCCATGCGCCACAGCCTGAATGGTTCAGGTCCTGGAGGCAGATTCCTGTCCTTGCCCTCTGTTCTTCCCCTGGGCACAAGGACAGCCCTGCCTCCAAGCCCCTCAGGACTCTCACCAGGAGCTGCACACGGCCTTGGAGACTTACTTGCTGAAAGTCCTTGAAGACCTGGATGACAAACTTCCCAGGAGGCTCTGGCTTCACGGACTGCCAGGTCACAGGCCACTGCACAACGTGCAGTCAAGGGTGACAGCTGGGGCCTGACCCAGGTGCCGCTGGCTGGTCAGTTGGGCCTTCTCAGAGGTGCCTTCCCTAAGGCCACTAAGAGGTGGGCCAGCTATGGGACAGTGACTTGGTTTTGGTCATTAGGCCACACCATGAAGGTTCATATCCAGGTATGGGTCTTGTTGGCTACTGGAAGAGAAATCCCCCGACTTAGCTATCACCTCAGTCCTTGCAACTTGCGCAAGGCGAGGGTCACCCTCATCCTAAAGGTTGTATTTTCTGTGGGCTCTGGGTTTTATGGTTCTTTGATGCTTTAAACAAAACCTCATATGCCTGTAATTTCAGCACTCAAGAGACTGAGGCAGGAAGATGGCAAGTTCAAGGCTGAAGTGGACTCCAAAGTAAGACCCTGTCTCAAAACAAGCAAACAAGCAAAAACTTCAAAATATTTCACCCAATACTCTCAGTTGTTTTTAGGGAAAAGATAGCTAAAATTACCCCATTTTTCTGTTTTAGGAAATGACTCACAGACCCATTTTACAGATGTGATGTGAAAGTTGAGACTCAGACAAAATTCACATAGGCACAGCACAGTGGAGGCAGACTGGGATTGCAAGCCAGCATGTCTGATCTGACTTCATCTCCCTGCTGACTTTGGGGGTGTGGGAGGGACCAAAGGAAAGTTCCCTGTACACAGCCCACATGCCTGTCACTCCCACCCTCTTCAGCTGTCTGAGCAAAAACCAAACGGTCCAGAGGTCACTGGGCAAAAAGCTAGACCATGTCCAGCCTGGTTATCCATTGCTTCTTTTACCCAGGCGCTGGGCCCCAAGGCGGGGGCTCCGCAGGCATCAGGTCCCAGACCCGCTTCACCTGACCTGGGCCTCACTAGGTACAGGCCTGGCTCACCCCTCCCTGCAGCTGCTCGGATCCCACTCAGCTCTGTGTGCGGCCTCGGCATGCCCTTTGCTCTGTTTGGCACTGCCTGTTCCCTAAACTCAGATTGAGGGTCGTGGGGACTGTGGCTTGTCCTTGCTCCACCAGGGCAGCTGCACCTTGCTGGGGGGTACCCAGGAGGGGGTGGAGACCTCTGTGAGGGACCCTTGTGGAAGGTCATTGAACCTTTCAGCAGCAGTGGCGGTGGCAGTGGCAGTGGCAGTGGCAGTGGCAGTGGCAGGAGCCCTGCGGGCAGCCAGATGAAGCTCTAGGAAACAGAATGATTGCGACAGACATTGCTCCGCAGGGCCAGGCAGTGGTGGAGTGGGTCAGTACATAATCCTCTGCCCCCTCAGCTCCTCTCTGCTCCAGGCAGGGGTGTCCAGGCCCTGCTATTTAACTCCGAAGCCTTGGTCTTTATCCTGATGGCCCACACAGGCTTCAGGCTGGAGTCAAGCTTCCCTGTTTCAGGGAGTGTTTGTAGAAAGGAAGGAGCCTTCCCTGGTTCTAGCTCACCCATCTCTAATGGGCTGTGTGGCCTAGAGAAAGTCAGCACCCTCTGTGGGCCTCAGCTGCTGCCTGGGAAACGGGGCAGGCTGCCTTAGCCTTGGCAGCAGTCAGCAGCAGGGAGCAGGGGGCAGACAGAGCACCTGGGGATGGGTGTAGGCTCAGGACAGTGACGCCTTGGGTATCAGTGGGTCCAACAGTTTCATTCCAGTCTGGAACTCTCAGGCTCAGAAGGGGGTCAGAACCTCAGCCAACCCCACATTTATAAAGCTTGATTCAAGAGGACCTTGTGGCCTAGGAGCCACTCCTGAGGGTCACTGGCTCTGTGGCTGTGGAGCCCCTTGCCTACTGTCCATCTTGTGGGCCAGGTTCTAACTCTGGGCCTCTGGCCTTTTTGTCCATGTCACCGAGGGTGCTGTCTTCACCCAGGTTCCTGTAGCCTCACCCCATGTCCCTGATCTGCTGAGGGCTCTAGCCTTCTAGATAACCCTGCAGAGAAATGACACTGACTGTCTTCCACTGGCTTCTCTGCCACCTCTAACTGGGCAGCCAGCTAGGGTGGGTCCTTCTCCATCCGCCGCATGTGCAATGCCTCCCATCTACCTGCAGGGGCTCCCAGGTTCACATCCCATATCGAGGGGCTCCAGCAGAGGCTTTCCTGGCCTCCTTTCCAAGTCTCAAAACTAACAGTAACAGTGTCGTGGGGTCTGTCCTGCAGGGCCTTTTGCCCCATGCTGAGAGCTTGGTCCTAAGCAACCACTTAGAGGTCTGGGGCTTTCTCCAGAGGTGCTGTGTTGCTGTGTAGAATCCAGTCCCGGGCAGCCAGACAAGAAGGGACAGCCAGGGAAAGAGTGGTGACTCTGCCTCCGCTGAGACACAGCCTCATTCAGGAGATGCCAGCCACACAGTCAGGGCACAAGGGACAGAGCAGGCTGATGATTCAGCATGTGGGGAGCTGGGTTACCTGGAAGGTCCTGGGAGGGACACAGAGGCAGGGACAGGGAGAGTGGGATTTGCTGGAGGGATCCACTGGGAGTTGAGTGCACCAGGTTGGAGACATGTGGACACAGGGCCTGCCCTGCTGCTTCCACACTCGGATTGTCAGGGCTGGGGCCTGTCTTGAGGCCACCCGAGTAGGGACACTCAGTCCCCTTCTCAGAGGGCTTGTAGCCTGGTTGGGAAGGAGTATGGGCAGGAGGTAGCAAAGACAAGCTGGCACCATTCCTCCCTCTTCCCCCAACCCCCAACCCCAGTGCATTCATCCATCCATCCATCCATCCATCCATCCATCCATCCATGCGTCCATCCATCCATAGACATCCTCTGGGAATCAGCGTTGTGGTACTGGGGACACTCCAGTGAGCCAGACCCCATTTCTGCTTCCATGGATCTCATTGTCCAATAAAGAATCCTAACAGTGTGGAGGGCACAGGTTTCAATCCACGTCACTCTGGCAGCAGCAATGCCTCTTTGAATCCTCAAAGAGCACACTGAAACCCCTGGGGTCCACTGCACGGCTGGCAGGAATGACCCGGGGCCCACCTGCTGTACGCTGGCCCCCATGTTTCCCAGTAAGTCTGTATTGCTCAGTTCGCCTGCTTGCCCATGTAAGCTCAGCTCAACCCCTGTCCTGCTTTTAGACCTCAGTGTTCCCATAAGATAGGTGAAGTCATCAGTATTAGGTTCTGCAAGCCCAGGCCACCTCCTGGGAACTGAGAGCAGGGAGGACAGATGAGGGAACCATGCATGTCCCCTGCCTGTGCCCACTGCAGACATCATAAATGGGTCAAGCACTCCTTCCCCTTTGTCCCCCACACAGCCTTATCTTGTCAATGACACACCCCAGGCAGTTTCCACCCTTGATCAGATCCAGATTTCAGATCTGATGACAACAGGTCAGGCGGACTCCCAGGCCCGCCAGCTGTCCATGGAGCTGGTAGCAATTGCTCAGCCTTGTGGGATCCTATTCATTCATCTATTTATAGAATCTTCTCTAGCCACAGAAATTTCCAAGCTGGGGGGCACAGAGGTTCCACATCACCAGATCTATCTAATCAGAGGGATAAGAGGCTTCAGAGTGGACTTCAATATAGAGAGGGACCGGACCAGCCACCAGAGGCTCTGCCTAGCTGGAGATCTGTTCAGAAAAAGTCCCTGGAGTGGGGTCTTCATGGCCTGGGCTGGACACCTGTCTTCCAGGAATCACTGAGCAGGTGGGCAGCAGCTGTTAGCTCAGAGCAGGTCAGGGTCTAGGCAGTCCCCAGCAGCAGATGGCAGAGCTCTTGATGGGCACTGGAGATGGGCAGTCCTCACAGAAGGGTGCAGCTGTGGGACCTCATGGCCCATCTCAGGAATTTCTGGGCCTGGTAACTATAGGGTGGGTAGCGGACCTCATTGAGCTTCTCCAGGCCCGAGGGAGCAAGCAGACAGGCACGGTGGTTGGAGAAGGTGTCGAAGGAGAACTTGCCATGGTACCTGCCCATTCCACTTTTCCCTGCATTGGCACAAGAAGTAAGGGTCTGAGCCAGGATGCTGTCCAGTGCCCACACCATCTCCAGCCACAGCCCACAGCTGGCAGTGAGCTCAGGGAGCCAGGCAATCCTACAAAGCATTATACAAATAGGGAAACTGATGTCTCAAGAGGCTCCAAGTCAAACGGTGAGTGAAAAGACTTGCAGATCTGATCTGGAGAAGCTGGGTGGCAAGCTGGACGGTAAGGGAGGGCAGGGACTCACCAACTCCTCCGAATGGCAGAGATGGCAGAGTCATGTACAGGAAGCCATCGTTGCCTCCGAAGTTGCCGCTGCTGGTCTGGTCCAGCACCTGGTTTACTACCTGGAGAAATGGGGGTGGTGTGGAAGTGGGCTCCCATCATCAGAGAGAAAGCTGGAGACCTGACCATCTTAAAGGACAGAAGCGGAACCAGATCTCCAGTGCTTCTCCCAGTAACCTCCACTGAACCATCGCCTCCCATCTATACACCCCGGAAGAGATGGTGCCTTCTCAGGGGTGGTCCAGGTGCAGTGTGGTTGCTACAAGCAGGATACAAACACAGAGGAAACCCTGCAGCATCAAGCCGGGCTTGTGACTGTGAGGCCCAGAAGTACGGTTGGGACATTGCAGCAAAGTACGTAGGGCTCACTATGACCACCCTGTGGGATCCCAGCCTTGTGCCAGCCTCCAACCCCATTTGGGTGCTCTGCTTCCCACAGAGAATCTTTGCATGCTACAGGAAAAGGAGGGTCCCTAGAACACTCCTTCCTGCAGAGGGAGTCCACCTAGGTTAGGACAGACAGCTGGCCAATCCTGCCCAGAGCCCTCTGCTTGGCAACCTTGTGCAGGACACTGGTTCCAGGCATCCTGGATCCTAGACACCCTTGAGGTGACTGTTGTCCTAAATTCCTTCCCCTCATAGAGGGCTGTACAAGGGGATCTGGCCAGTTTGTATCTATTGGTGCTGTTCTGTCACTCCAGCCCAATAAGTCCTACCTTGCTGTCGTTAGAGAAGACATACAAGGCCAGTGCCTTCTCCTGACGGTTGATGAAGTCGATGGCCTCGTCCAGGCTCCTCACAGTCATCAGGGGCAAGATGGGCCCGAAAACCTCCTCCTGCATCACCTGCTCTGTCTCCTGCACGTCCACCAGCACTGTGGGTGCTGTGGGCACAGGGGTGGCTCAACCTTGTGGAGTGACCAGGATGGTCCCCAGGGGCAGGACCAGGCCTGGACTCCAGGCCAGAGAGACCAAAGTTTGACCTCCTAGGATACCAGACTCAGGCTCTCAGGACCTGGGGTCCTTTCCTCAGGGGACAGCAGACGATGGCACAGAGATTATTTAAATAACACTCTGGGCCCCTACAACAGTGGCCTGAGCTCAACAGATCCAAAACTGTGGACAAGAGTTTAGCATCAGGGAGCCACAGACTCAGAACCACCAATGTCTGGAGCATTTGTACTCTGGAATCAGGAGGAGGGCTCACCAATGTAGAGATCATCCTCATCACTCTGACCACCAATGACCACACGGCCACAACTCAGAAGTTCGTGGAGCCGCTTGAAATGTCTCTGGCTGATGATGCGGCCCAGGTCGGGGGAGCTCCGGGGGTCATCGCCATAGAAACGAGTGATGGCATTCTGCAAGGCCGGCACCAGCCGCTCCTGCATCTCCTGGCTGCACAGGACGTAATCAGGAGCCACGCAGGTCTGGCCGGTGTTGAAGTAGCGGAACCAAGCCAGGCGGTTGGCCACAGTCTGAGGGTCACAGTTGTCATCCACATAGCAGGGGTTCTTGCCCCCCAGCTCCAGGGTGACGGGCGTCAGGTGTTTGGCGGCAGCAGCCATGACAATCTTGCCTACACGAGCACTCCCTGGGAATGTCAAAATACCCTGTCCTCAGTGGGCTAGATCAGTGATGGCAAACCTATAACATGATATCGCAGTGGGCTGTTTGTATCATTGAAAGCGCTAGCAGGTTTGCCATCACTGGGCTAGACACTCCAGGCACATGACGTTGCCCATCTCTTCACACAAGGCCCTCCATGGCCTAGCACCTGTCCTGTGCCACCCAGTGGATCTGTCTTCAGCACAGTCATCCCTAGACCCAACAATTCTCGGAGTCATGGTCAGCTTGCCTATTAATTACTCCCGGGACACCTCTAACTCTTGATTTGTTCCTTACCACCAACTACAGGCTCCTCCCTCCAATTCTTTCCCACTCTGTCCTGTGCTGTCTCCTGCTCCAGGAGCCTGGCCAGCACCACTCTCACCTGTAAAGAAGATATGGTCAAACTTGTGCTGCAGCATCTTCTGGGACTCCTCGGGCCCACCTGGCACCACCGCAAAGCAGCTCTGTAAGATGGACAGGCAGCTCAGGGGGCAGGTCCAGAGCACAGGACTGTTCTGGCCATCAGGGGCAAGGGTAGGAGGATAATAGGTGTTGAAGGGCCAGGTACCCTCACCTGGTCCAGGTACTGGGGCAGCACCTCAGTCAGCACCTTCTCTATCCTCTTGCTTATTTCAGGTGGCTTCAGTATCACACAGTTCCCTGCAGGGGCAATGGGGCAGCAGTGGGGGAAGCTAATGACCCCATACTTTCCAGGAGATGCAACCTGGGAGATTCAGGGGTCCTCTTTGCACAGAGCGGTTGGACTGGGCATAGGAGTCAAGGATCCTCTCCTCACCTGCTGCAATGGCCCCGATCAGTGGCACCAGGGTCAGATTCACAGGGTAGTTCCAGGGGGCAATGATAAGCACCAGACCAAGGGGCTCCTTCCGGGTGAAGGCAGAGTCCAACTTTGTGAGCTGAAGTGCAGAAAAGACCATGAGACCCTGCCAAGGACTTGCCCACACCCAGCCACCCTATACTCAGGTCCTCAGCTCCCTGAGTGATTGAGTCCCTGGATAATAAACTGACTCTCCCTGTGTCAGGGCAGCAAGGATTCTGAGCTAACCTGGCCCAGTCCACCACCCCCTACTACCACTACTAGGCCAGAGGAGCTCACCAAGTTATTGCTTGCTGGTTTGTCCTTCATCCAGGTCTTCAGGTTCTTGAGGGCCAGGTCTACCTCATTCTGGCATAGAATAATCTCAGATATGTCTGAGTTCAAGGGTGACTGTGGAGGAGATAGAATGGGAGGTCAGGCTTGTGGCTGGCCCAAAGTCCAGAGAGTGGAGAGGGCACCAGTGGGTCTCACAGTGGTCCCATGGGAAATGTACGGGGCTGCCTGGGCTCCAGTTCCACTTGTGACCTTGGGCAAGTGAGTGACCCAGTTTCCCAAGTGTTTATAGCCTGTCTCACAGGGTGGCTGTGCATGCTCGTGAGCTCTTAGTATAATGTGACCCACTACCTGGAGGGAAGGGTCTATTAAAAGACAGAAATAGATTTGGAAACATAGTCACATCAAGACACAAACACCTTAATGAGGGGACGGGGATGTTATGAAGGGTGTGACCCTGCCTTAGAAAGGACAGAGCAGATCTTGTCTGGATACCTCCCTTCCCTGCCACGGTCACCTTCTGCAGGTCCTGGGCCAACGCTTCATACAGCAGCTCTTGCTTTTCCCGGAGGAAGCGGCCCAGGGCCTCTAGCTGCTCCTCCCGGAATGCAGCCGGCCGTGTCCGCCCTGACTTGAAGGCCTCCCGTAGCCGCTGCACTGTGTCTTCAAAGGGTTCCGTGCTGCTGGACAGGTAGTATGAGTTAGGGGGTGGGGGCTGCCCTATCTTCAGGGACACCATCCACCTACCTCATGGCCTACAACAGCCTTGCATCTGGCAACCTCACTTGGCTCACAAGCCCCCCAACACAGGATCCTGCCAGTTACCCCGCAGAGTGGGGTGTGAATCCTGTGTGTGTGTGTGTGTGTGTGTGTGTGTGTGTGTGTGCATATGAATGTCTGGTTGTACATCTGCCACTGTGCCTATGTGTCCATGGGTACATGTGAGTGTATATGTGGATACAGCAATGTCTATGTGTGTGTCTGTGTTTCTTTGTGTGTACACATTTCTATGTGTGTCTGTGTATGGGTGTGCCTGTGTGGATGAGTACAAATGTGTTGGTGTGTCTGTGTATCTGTGTCTTGGCTGTCTCCAAGTGTGTGTGTTTGTGTCTGTGTCTCAGTGCAGGTGTGTCTCTGTGTGCTTAGTGGGTGGCCCTGTATGAGTCTGTCTGGCACCCTTACATCAGAGTCACAGCCGGGGGGACAGGGAAGCATCGGCACCAGCACCCTTCTGTGGCCTTGGCAGGTCACTGTCGAGCCACACAGGTCACAGAGCCTCCAAACTAGTCGCTGGTTGCAGTCCCTGATCTTAGTACGACTGTACCCGCTGAAGGATTCAGATACCGGGCAGTCCCCAGCCAACCTGCAGACACACCGCCCTTCCCGTGACAGCCTGGCCATCAAGGGCACAGGAGAGAATGCAGCAGTGCCTTCCCTGCAGCCGGCGCAGGAGGTGGTCCTGAGGGACCCGGAGCCTTCGTGAGCCTGAATGTCCCAGGGGCCTGGGATGAGCTGAGGACCCCCGAGACCTGTTGTCTGGCCCAGAATCCTGATCCTAGGGTGGTCGCCTTTACCAGCTGAGGCAGGTAACACCATCTGGCTCTTCCCTGTGCACACCTGGTGCGAGGTAAAATCACTGAGTTGCCAGCAGTGTCTGACAAGACACACAGGAGCCGAGCTCCCTAAAATTCCCGTGGGCTGGGCCTGGACCGCAGTTCCTTCCTCAGCCTCGCAAGCGGGGAGGAAGCACCCAAGGTTTCCCAGGCCAGGGGCTGGCTAGGCACATAGGCGGCTGCCCTAGGCCCTACTAGCCCTCACTGAACACGAATGGCATCCTTCATTACGTACTAAGATTCATGCTGAGAAAGGCATTACGAGGCCGCTTTGTCCTTGTGCCCGCAGCACGGCGTGTGCTTCCACAAACCAAGACAGTACTGGCTCCTGCACACCTAGCTGCATCCTCATCTCAGAGGCTCATGGTTATACACACTGGAAACCTCAATTATTCCATGGTACACAGCTATAATTACAGCCAGGCTCCAGGCACCGGAGGTTCCTTCCTCAGCCTGGCCAGAGACCCGGCAGCCGGTCAGGGGGCAGTAGGAAGGCAGGGAGGGGATTCAGGATGAGGGGCCCGCACCCGCAAAGGCCCCACAGGGGCTGGCGCAGCCCAGGGAGCTGGGAGCTTCCCACCGGGAAGGAGCACAGCTCGGAACAAAGTCTGGAGGGCAAGCAGCCCTTTGGAGCTAAGGGTTTTGGCTCGTCTGTTTTGTTTTGGTTTTCAAGCATCATTTAGTTTAAACTTCACAGAATGAGGAAACTGTCCCTCCAAGAGATCGCCTGGTTTGCCCTCCTCCCTGATGCTGTGAGGGGCTCAGCGCTGGCCTGGTTGGCCCCACAGACCTCTCGGCCTGCCAACACCGTGACCGTGTGCCAACGTGTCCTGATCTCCCCAGTGTCCTTCAGTCTCTTCTACATTCCCTGCAGTGCTCATGGGATTCTTCCAGAACTGGGAGTGAGCAGGGAATCGAGTTTTCAGCTACTGAAATCCAAGGCTCAGTCCCTGCCTCTGGACCCCCTATTCCAGGACACACAGTGATCACAACTCTGGTGACCCCTGCCCTGATCCTCATCGTCCTAATGGCTGTCTCCGAGAGGGTGCTCCCCCTGGAGAACAGAGGTCTGAATGCTGGGTGCTTGCCCAGGGCCTGACCGTCACAGGAAAAGGGTGCCCAGGAAGCCTGGGTATAGTACAAAGTGCATAGTGCATTGTGCATCATGCATAGTACATAGTACAGTTAGGGCAGAACTAGGTTTCCCCTCTGTGCTCCAAGCCTCCAAGACCAGACTGTCACCCTTCTGCCTTAGACTCCTTTCCATTCCTACACACACACACACACACACACACACACACCCCATGCCCCTTTCCTTCAGCCCTGCATTCCATTCCCCCAGCCTCCATTCTGACGTTGGCCTTTTAAACTAAGGCTCCTCTGCCCCTGGCCCTTGCCCCTACAGCCCCACATACCCCAGCATGGGCTCCGGGTCCGCACCCTTGGTTGCACACTTGTTCGACATTCTTCCTGCAGATGCCCGACTCTGCTCCTTCCCTGCTCACCCCTATCTCTGCCTATGCCAATCCCCTGCTCCTCCTAGGAGCCTGCCCCACCAGACTCTTGGCCCACACCAGGCATGGGTGTGTTCACACACCTGCCCACTCCTGTGCCCCGAGCTGCCCTGTTCTCATAACCTTCTTGCCACAGCCAGCAGGGCAGCAGGTAGGGCAACCTGGGAGAAGCCGCTCTGAGTGCCTGCTGGAGGGGTGGCAGGGAGTTACCAATGAGTAGAAAAAACCCCAGAGGGTAACAAGATGCAGACCATCTAGATCACGGCAGCAAGTACTGCCCCCTGAGGAAGCCCTCACAGACCCTGCGCTCTACTCCTCCACCCCCACCTTCTGAGTGCCCAGGTCCAGATAAGGGCCTGCCTGTGCCCAAGAGGAAGGGTGACAGATGAGCAGGAGCCTCCATTGGAGATGGAGGAGGAGCCAGATGAGCTCCATTGGAGCAGATCAAAATTGGAGAAAAGGAAGGGCTGTAAGGTCAGTCAACATTTTGGCCCTAGCCTTTCAAGGTCAGTGAAGACTCGGGGCATAGGAAATCCTGTACTGTAACAACATGTAACTCAGTTGTGCTCCAAATTTTCTGATCAAGAAGATTGGAGGCGACTCAATCCAGTGTTGAGATTCATTCAGTTGTTTACTGTCCTACTTACTGTGTGACCTCTGGTAGGTTCCTTAAACTCTCTGAAGCCCTTTGAGGCACAAGCAGCATGGAAGTGTAGTTACTGAGAGGATCACGTGGCCAGAGAGTATGCAGGCCATAGCTCCTGGCACAAAATCAGTACCACTCAAGGTTGGCTACTAATCTTTCATGGGCATTGAGCCCCTCCGAGTTCCTGGGAAGCAGAAGACCCCCACACCATGGTCCCTCTGTGATAGTCTGACACTGTCCCACCCCTCTCTAAGCCACATGCCACACACACCCTGTGCTGAGGTCCACACAGAGGGTTTCTTGGCAGAAACATTTGATGTTCCCATCCTGGCTGGCAGGACCTCTGAGGTCACCCTTGGTTGTGACTGGAGTTAGGCCAGGGAGAGCCACAGATTACTACAAAACCTTCACCCTGAGTCTTTGGTAATTTTAGATATGAATGCTGATGTGATTATGGGGACATGGGACAGAAGTGCTGCCAAGACCCATTTAAGAGCCTTACAGAGGAACTGAAAGCATCATACGGAGGAACTGAAAGCATCATATCATAGTGATATATGCATACCTATGTTTATAGCAGCACAATTTGTGATAGCCAGATCTTGGAAACAA